GCATATTCCTTTCCAGGCATCCTCAAGTGGTTTGAAGTCAAACAGGTTACAGTGGTGAGTTCTGCATGTGGGTTGGATGTCATCCCTTCCAGTCACTCATGGAGTCTTCAAACTGTTAGGGCTGTCAGTCTTTCCACTGCTGGATGTGGCACATCAACAACTTCTGCTGCAGATAAAAGCAAATCGCCTACTTTCATATTCAGTGGAGGTGAATGAATAGAATCATGGAATAGTTTGGGTTGGAAGGACCATAAAGATGATCTTGTTCCACCCCCTGCCATGGGCAGGGACACCTTCCACTAGCCCAGGTTGCTCCAAGCCCCATCCAACCTGGCCTGGAACCCTCCCAGGGATGGAGCAGCCACAGCTTCTCTGGGCAACTTGTGCCAGTGCCTCAGCACCCTCACAGGGAAGAATTCCTTCTTAAATGAAGGTTTGAATGTTTATTCTGTCATTCTAATGAAGGTTTATTGTGTTTATCATCTCCCTCAGGAAGAGATCAGCCCCTTGGAGAATGCCATAGAAATGATGGAAGTAACCAATGAGAAAATCACCAACATTGTCCAGCAGCACATCTGGGACAGGAGTTTGCCTGTCCATCCTCTCTCCATGCTCCTAAACGGCATCGTGGACCCAGCAGTCATGGGGGGATACACCAACTATGAAAAGGTCTGTCTCACATTGGTGGAGCTCCTTTGGTCTGGAAACAGGCTGAGAGCTGGGCGTGTTGAGCCTGGGGAAGAGAAGGCTCCAGGGAGACCTTGGAGCCCCTTCCAGTGCCTAAAAGGGCTCCAAGAGAGCTGCAGAGGGACTTGGGACAAGGGATGGAGGGACAGGACAAGGGGGAATGGCCTTAAGCTGAAGAGGGGAAAGTTTAGATTGGATATTAGGAAGTTCTTTGCTCTAAAGGCAGTGAGACACTTAGACAGGATGCCCAGAGCAGCTGTGGCTGCTCCATCCCTGGGAGTGTTCCAGGCCAGGTTGGATGGGGCTTGGAGCAACCTGGGCTGGTTGGAGATGTCCCTGCCCATGGCAGGGGGTGGAACTGGATGACCTTTAAGGTCCTTTCAGCCCAACCCATTCCATGGTTCTATGATCTGTAGCTCACTCTGTTGATCTCTGCAATGTGTAAGACCTGGATCGAACCATGCGACACTGAATTCGGTCTCCAGCTGTTACACAGACACATTCTGGAGCTCTGTCTGTGTGCTTAGAGCTCGAAGAAGAGCGGAAAAGATCAAAGACAGAGATTTCCACTGACTGCAAGGTGGAAAAGCACTGTCTCTTCAGTGGTTAGTTTTAGTGCTTGCATTGCCATGGGTAGGAATGGACCAGGGTGGGGAATGATCAAGCTCTTTGGGCCTTGTTTACATTGGTGGTAACAAGCTGATCCTGCCTTGTGGGGCACAGAGGTGCAGGTACCAAGATAAAACCAAGGGCTGGAGTTTCTCCTTCGTGTTAATAGGGAATGGGATGGCAAATGAGACTTTCTCTTGCCAGCAGATCATCTGTCTTTAGAGTCTTGCAGCAAGGAGCATATATTTGAGGAAAAAGCAGTATTTCCTACCCAGTTTATTCAGCTATATTCAGTGACCAGTGGAGGTTCTTTCTTTCTTGTCATGTTCAACCTGAACTGTTGCTTCCCAGGATCTAATGATGCTATTCCCAGCGCAAAGTCTATTGCTTATTTCCACAGACTGAAGGGATAGTGTTAAAAGACATGTAAGTCTCCTCAGATGTGCACCAGTCACATGGAATGAAGTGCACCAGTTAAATGGGAGAGGGGCTGATTTATCTGGGGTTAAGTGCTGATTCCAGAAGAGTGACATGCTTTGCCAGGGCTGGATTTGGCCCTAAATCCTCCCATTTTATGAATTGAAGTTGACATCAAGTTTCGAATTACAAAAGTGGGGAAGCAGTTAGAAGTAGGAAACACAAAGTATCTGTAACCACATCTGGAAATACTCATTTCTGCTTCATATTTTCCTTTCAGCTGAAGCTTAGGACAGAACATTTGGCTTTTGTGGGCGGCTCAAACCTTGAGTTTTAATTGTTTCACTGGAGCCAAAAGCCAAAGTCTGTGTTTTTAACATCTTTCTTCTTGCAATAATTAAACACTTTTAAGCAATATCCCCTGGGACCTCTCCAACAACCCTTTCCCAGGCTCACCTCCTCCTGACATCAGCCTTTTCAGAGCCTACAAACACCTGGATACAGGTCCACAAGTGAAACTTCTGGTCAGAGGCTGAAATAGTTCAGAGACACATTTTAAAACCTAATGGGAAAAAAAAAATATTAGGGATTTTTTATCTAGGAAAAAGAAGAATTCTTCTGCCCAGGAATTGTGACCATTTCAATGGGAATTAAAATTTTAAGGCTTCACTCCAGGAAAATGGATTTGTGTTTGTTCAACAAACAGCAGAGTCTGTTGATTAAAGGTAACCCCAGGAGAAGAGGAGACTAAAGGTGCTTTGTTGAAGTTAACTCTGAGCCCAAACCTCAACACAGCCTTTATTTCTACTGAATCTTTGTAACAAGCCCCAGGTGAAAATGTTGGATTTAAGGGCTTAAATCCTAGAGCTCAAGGAAATTGCAGCTGGAGCTGCCCTGGATGCCTTTGTGCAGCTCAGGTTGTTTGGGTGTCTTTGTGTGCTGTAGGTCATTGAATGCTGAAACTGAGAGCGACTGAAGTGAGAATTCAAGATCTTGTGTCTGCTACTCATATTTGAGTGACAAGTGATGGAACTTTGGCTATTCAAAGTGAAGGAGAAGGGAATTGGAATGGAATAAGGCCTTCCTGATGAATGACAGGAATCTTCCACCCAGAGCAAACAGTGTAGTGTCTGTATCACCTGTGTCATCTCTCTTTGCTTTCAGGCCTTCTTCACAGAAAAGTATCTTCAAGAACATCCTGAAGATCAAGATAAAATTGAGCTGCTTAAGCAACAAATTGCTATCCAGGTATGGAATTGGGAAAGGATTTGAAGCACAGTGTGAGTGCGTATGTTTTCCCACATCATGGTTTGGAGTGTTAACACAGATCAGTGCTGTAAGAACAACCTGGATATGTGTCTGGAGATGTGCTCAGCTGCCTTTTATTTTAAGGAAACTGCTGCATTCTGAACCTGTGGCCTAAAATATTCCATATGGAACACCATGTACTTGGTGTTACTCTGGAATATTTGCCCAAGTGGCATAGGATTTTCCCTCATGAGTATCAAAATACCTCGTGATGGAATCATCAGACCTACTGGTTTGTCAGTCTGACCATTGGAGTTGGTCTGTTTTGACCTGAAGAGCAAGGAAGATTGCCCTGTTTTCTTACAATGCAAGTGGCATCTCTGCAGACCAATTTTTCCATCTCCTCACTCAACAGGCTCTGGTTGAAACTACCTCATGATCACACAGCTCTAGAGGCTAAGAAGCAGCACTCCAATATTTAACATGTGTTTTCCACAGCAGAATGTGGAACCTGACTGGGGACTCATAGAATTCCAGAGTGGTTTGGGTTGGAAGGACCTTGAAGCTCATCCAGCCCCATGCCCTGCCCTGGGCAGGGACCCCTCCCACCAGAGCAGGTTGCTCAAGGCTCATCCAGCCTGGCTGTGAACACTGCCAGGGTGGGGGCAGCCACAGCCTCCCTGGGCACCCTGGGACAGGGTCTCACCACCCTCACAGGGAAAAACTTCCTGATACCTAACCTAAATGTCCTCTCTTTCAATTTGTACCCAAGTCCTTTAAGTGTATCTGACATGTGTGACATGACTAGAAAATCCCATGCTGGAACAGGAGACTTGATGTGTCCTCTTGTAGCTTGATTCTGTTGCTCCTTTCAGATGCCCTTGCTGGCAGAGGGTATTCGGATCCATGGTGAGAAACTGACAGAGCAGCTGAAGCCTCTGCACGACAGGCTGACATCCTGCTTCAGGGAGCTGAAGAAGAAGGTGGAGAAGCAGTACGGGGTGATAACCCTGGTACGTGAACCTCCTTGCTTAGTGCTTTGCCTTAGAGAGAGCCAACTCTTTGCTCTCCCAGCTGTGAGGCACTGGGACATAGAATCAGAGAATTTTAGGGTTTGGAATGGACCTTAGAGATCATCTAGCCCCAACCCCTGCCCTGGGCAGGAACACCTCCCACCAGAGCAGGTTGCTCAAGGCTTT